TGGGCACCACTGATACAGTAACAGTTGATTCTCAATTAGCTACAGGAAGCCTGTATACTTTGACTACTACTCTGTTTAAACAGCTGAGAGGAAGAAAAGGTTGTCATGTGGCTGGACAAGAATAAAGGCTGGGGGTTGGGGAACTCAGTAATTCTGGAAGATTTCACCCAGGATGCACTCCGTACAGATCTGACGGTCACGGAATGGTGCCAAAGAAGTGCCTCCAGTGATAGAATACATTTTCTAGCACATCACAGTCCGGTAGCAGCATCAGTTCTGCTTGCAATCCATGTCCAAAAGGGAAAGTTCTTAGTGGTTCTGCTTTCAGCATATCTCAAGGACTAATTAAATACTCATTACTACCTTCTAATTATTCAAATACTATGGGATTACACTAAGGAAGTCCCCGCTGGCACACTAGATGAAAAGGGTTAAATAACCTATGTTGATTTTGAGAATCCAGATCTAGTTCAGACCTTCAGAAAACCACTAGCATTAAAATGAATATTTAACTAGACACCACTGTGAAAATTAAAAGGGAATTCAATTAAAAGCTTTTCAAAAAATTAATTCTGAACCCCTCTACATCTGTCCAAATAAATAAGCCTTCTTGAAACATTTTCACCTAATTGCTAATCCAATAAACTAGAAGGGCATTTGCTAGTTTCATGAAGCTTAGCATTTTACAGGGGTTAAAAATGTAATCATTTTGATGTTAATAATAATTATGCTTATTTATCTACTCAGATAATTGTTCCACACTCCCTCCAAGTCCTCTTGGAAAACAGGGCAACCCACTAATAAGCCATTTCCTATTGCTCTTTTCAAATTTTAAGATATATATGCTAAAGAATAAGAAGGATAAAGCTAATCTACACATGTTAGCTACAATTTTCTTGTAAAACAAGAAACAAGCTACAATTTTCTTGTTCAGTATTTTAGGGTTATCCTAACTGTTCCTCCATTGCCTTAGTTCACATAATTCACAGTACTGTATTTGATTTTCTGCGTGAGATGCTTTAATAGCAATTCTGTATGTTGTTATATGAGGTCTACAGAGAAAAGATGTGGTTTAAAATAAAAACCAATGGCAAATGTGTTACAGAATACTAAACTGAAGTTTTGACCTTTTTTAAAAAAAAAGCAAACCCAAAACTTCTATCAGTAATGAAGAAGGTAAAACCAAAGTATCTGAACTAATTTTCTTTATTCAGTCAGTAAGAAGCACCACATAATATGCAAACAGGAGAGTACTAAATCAAGTTTTATATTGGAAAGTACATGAAATGTAGAGACAATACTACAGAAGAATAAAGCAGCCAATAAACATCCCAAGTGTCTCCCTCCTTTTTGTATCTTATGAAGACCATATCCACATATACCTTCATAGATGGAGAACAGAAAACTACAGAAACTCAGTTATTTTCACCTACGTACAATGTGGGGAAATGAATTTGTGACTGATGTCCTTTGACACACTCGACACCAGAACCACCAGGTGAAGAGGGTGTTGAGCTGAAGAGGGGGGTGGGCACTGCAGGGCCTGGGATCTGGACAGGGCACGGACTCTGCGCCCAACCTCGGGGAGACGGCATGGCCTGGCTGTTGTCAGTGCTCTTCAGACCCCAGGACAGCCTCCGATTTGCAAAATTCTCCTAAACAGGGTATGTAGTTTATTAATGAATATTCTTCCTGAGTGGGGATACAAAGACCAAACACAAAGGAATGACAGCAGAGCAAGAGATCAGCTGCTTGAGCCTGCAGGAACCTAGCTCCAGGGCAGTTTGTCAGCACTGCTGTCCCCCACGAGGACTTTGGAGACGACCCAGAAAACTGCATCTCCAAAGGAAAGTAGGCTGCATCTCCTGTTTTGTGCAGTTGTCTCTGGGCAAGTGTGTTTCTAGATGCTCTACCATTAAAGAAAATCTATCTCCTGTGGGTACCTTAAAGAAAATGTGTTTAATTGTGGAATCTTACTCTCTTATAATCTTACTTCTTAAAACGAAGCAAGTGTAAAAGGAAGTGTTTAACTTGGTTATTTTAGCACTCAGCAGTACAGAAGCTATGTTATCTTGTCTATCAAGGTCCATGGTTTCTGAGAAAGAATACGTTTTTAAAAATAAGATGCTAACTCACCAATGTATTTTTTTTCCTCTCTGCTTCTTTCATTACTTCCTTAAATAAGGGGAGGGGGCAGATATACAAACTGTAAAGGTATAAATGAAGTTAAATTACTTTTCAATACATGGGAATCAACACTGGGGAATTTTCTAGCAACGGTTTTCTTAGATTTATTTTGCACTATATATACTGTTGGTACATATACCAAATGACAGTAAAACAAGGAAAAGGTTTTCATTATTGTATCAAATCATTAAAATATTCGTGTCATTTGCCATTAAGATATCTGATCAAGTGTCGTTAGGTAGGAGCTAACGTTTCTTCCTAGATTTTAACAAATAACAAAGCCATTTTTTAAAAACGTACTTGCTACCCAATTTTAGAGGAAATTTAACTCACGCATGGCAAAGTATCATCCAACAGCCATTTTTAAATAAGTTTTCCTTCTCAGGGGTTGTCTAACCAACAAAAGGCACACAAGGGATGCACATGGTGCAGGCAGCACAGTCTCAGGGGAAGTTTGAGGAATAGGTTCATAAAAATCAATTCAGATTTAGCAAATCATAAAACTCATTTTTGCTATTTGAAGGAAATGGTCATTATATTAGCCCAATTGTTATGTATCCACTACTAGTTACCAAAACTGCACTATACATAAGAGGGGAGAAAAAAACCCAAACATATCAACATAGTGGTTTCCATACAGTGACACCAGAGGAACATCCTCAATTTTGCCTTTTGCAAATGTATGAAGTTAAAAGTTTGATTTAACTACATTTCCTGTCATCTCGTCCTTCATATTTGGTTTTCTACATTTTAAAATTCCTTAAACATTTATCAGGAGGAAGGGGTTGGAAAGACACTGGAGGATGTGGAGGGGGGTTCTCTTTTTTAGTTCTTAGCAGTAAAGGTTAGAACTGTAGGGCTTCCAAATAAGGTATCTTTTATCTTTTGATCCTTGAAAAATTAGCAGAATTCTCGCAGTAGGAATGATGCTTCAGGGATATGGTGAAGATTAAATAACAAAAATCTTCATTTTAGCTCTGGGTCTGGCCTGAGCGGGCTTTCAGTGTAGGATAATTTCTTTTATCCTTTTTTCTTCACTTCCTTGACCGAGCCACACAAGGTAGGTAGAACCCACGGCCAAGAAAAGGAGTTTGGGGAGAATTCCCCCTGGCTTGGCTTTAGTGCTCTCTCCATGAACGTCTGTAACGTCTTCTAGACAACCAGAGCCATATGAGGAGTTAACACAGGACAAGCAATTGATAGAGAGGATGTGAGATGCAAGACTAATTCACAGGAGGCCACAGTGGAAAGTTTAGAGAAACAAATACACACATCACACAACTATTAAAACATATTATAGCATCGTTATGAGGCAGGGGTTGCCCAAGTACGGTCCTCAGATCAGCAGCATATGAGCAATACCTGGGAACTTGTCAGAAATGCAGACTGTTGAGCGCTCCACACCTCAGACCTACTGAATCAGAAACCTGCGGGTGTGGCCTAGCAATCTAGTGTGACAAGTTCTCCAGGTGATTCTTGTGCACCCTAAAGTTTAAAAACCATGAACTATTCCATTATTAAGACATATTGTAGTATTTTGATAAGGGAATTAAAGTATTAATTATACATTAAATTATAATAAAGTTAAATATGTAAAGGTATTAGAAATTAACATTTCATTTTATTCTTACTAAACATTCATTTTAACACGAATGATATATAGATAAGGCTAATTCATCTTTTCACTGGTATTATTTTTAAATAACACATTGCTGAGTTTTTAATATGTAAAATAACTGAAACTTTATAATTCTAATTAGAAACAAATCATCGTCTTTACAACCCATACAGTAATAATTATAAACATTAGGGGTCAGGAGCCTTTAAGTATCAGCTACGAAGCCAGCAATTTCTGTCTTCTGGGCGGGTGTGAAAGAGGAGGGGGAGTGAAGGAAAGTGGCGTCTCCATGGGGTGGGGCAGATGAGCCTTGACCCACAGGCAGTGGGAAGCGATTTGGCAAAGCACTAGATGGTGCAGCAGGCTTATAAGGCCCAGTCTACGCTAATCTGGATTAAAATCACCACCTCCATCATCAACAAAAGTAGCTTTACTTCTGAAGGGGAGAGAGAAGACAGAAGCAAACAAAGGGAGGCCTAAGGCTTCAATCAAGGCAAAAACATGGGGGTCAACACGCAGAACTGAGTGAAAGCTCAGAGTTTGCAGATGTGGGACAACCTGATTGTTCAAGGGCTTCAGGAATAGCTCACATTCTTTTCTCTGGCTCTGGCACTAACCTGCTTCTGAGAATGGGAAGGTCATACAGAACCTCTGCGGTCCTCATATTCTTTATTCATAAATTGAGGTGAACAGACTATAATCTTTCAGGTCAGCTCCAGTTCTAAGATCCTATAATTCTACAGTACAAGGTCTTACTCTGTGTTTAAAATTTTACTGTTAAATATCATGGGACAAGTAACTGATCAAACCGGCTAAACAGACACACATACTTAACAATACTTTTTTACCTCATTAGGACCAATATCCAAATTGAATCATTAACAGTCATTTTTACACAGCTAGATCAAATATCAGACTACGGTCATGTATAAAGTATACTTCATGGTTCTATGTGGACATATATATTTTTTGGGTCTTGAACTGCACTTTGGTAAAACCACCCAATCTGCAAGAAAGCATCCTTCTTTTCAATATTTATTGTTACATGTAGGTTCTTATTTATTACTTTCATCTGATAAGGAAACATAATATCCTTTGAAAAATTATTTATAAGGAGGTGCATAGGTAAGCAAATTCATATAAGCCTTATATACTCAAAACACAAAGGTATGTAAGATATGAATTGAAGACCAACCTCTTTCCTGTGGCATTGGTGACTGGCTCAAGGCAGGATGAGAACTGGATTCCGACTGGCTCCCAGGTGGCTGAGGAGGCATCTGACTGCCTGTAAAACACAGGAGGGGAAGTGGGGATAGGGAACCCTCTGCATTAACGTTGCAACTGTGCAAAACCAAGACACGGTTAAATTTAATCTTCATGTTCACAAAAGTATGGCTTCACAAAGAAAATTATATAGCTCAAAGAGTGATATTTTTACACATTTTTGGTAAAACAATGAGGAAACAGGCATTAAATATATTTATCGAATTACCTCCTGAAAAGTTTAGTTTCTTACTGTATGAGTTCCCAAATTCACAGAAAAATCAATCTGTAGCTGAAATCTCCTGACACACACTTCGACAATGCATTTAACAAAATCCAAGACTGATGAATTAAACTCATCCTCCTGAGTTTAGACTAGTCTCTAAGTGGGAAGGCATGAAGAGTGGCCAACAATTTTTCATTGGTAATATTTATTCAGTATAGTAATATCAAGCGACTTCTAAAAAAATCTTTATAATGAGTCGGAGATTTAACAAAAACTTAGAGGAAAATCTCAATTAAAAAACAGACTACTATAAAATATAGTGTACATCATCACTAAAGAAGAAATATTATTCTGTATCTCTTTTGATCTTTATTGCTAATGAAGCAATATTTACCATCTATTTGATTTCCATTTATTTAATTTTTGCTGTTTGTCTTTTCAAATGTAAGCTCCTCAAGCCAGGAATCATGTCTTTTACTCCTTTAATCTCTCCATTAGCATAACAAATATTTAATAAATCTTTGTTATTGAATGGTCCTTAATCTGAGAATATGAATTAAAGCAAAAGATATTTACTATTTTATTAATTAAAGAGAGACAGTGAATCATGTGAAGGCTAGAGACAGGATTTTGAAATTTAAGAATCATCAGAGCCACCTGACAATCTCAACTCACTTTCTGCCTCAGAAGTTTAGATACATTTCTGAGACTAAAAGTATTATAGAATAAAAATGGCAGTTGAATTTAGCATAATCCTCAAAGCACTGTTTAACCATTCATTTACTCTTGGACATCTGTAGTAAATTAGTATTAGTACCAAATAAATAAATATAAAGTAAAAAACACCTACATTCTGGGTGACAGCTTGAAGGGTAAACACTGCCATCAACATGACCACAGATACACAAAGCATATGAGGACCATGCTATTTTTATCTTCTAACCTCCCCCTTTGCTAAAATAAATTGGAAAGACAGAAATACACACACACACAGACACAGACACACACACATATACATACATATCCATATATACCTGCATATATATATCCCTACATAGCCCTCTGGTATGGTAGTCTGTGATCATGCTAGATCAGGTGAACTGCTCTGACACCATAGGACCCACTTCTTGCATAGTTCTGTATATTGCTAAGAGGAATCACAGTTATTGAGTAGAGAGGGAAATTAATGTACTGAAGATTACCACCAATTCACCTCAGCAAAGGTCGTGATGCAGAGCCTGGTGTTTCACACAAAAAACAACCCCTTCTTGTGTTTTCACCTGATGGCGTATCTATCAGGCCAGGCAGCCTGAGTACAGACCAGGAAGAGAATGGTCTCTGAGGACCACCCCCTCATTACTAACTCTAATAACAGCTGTATCTGTGACAGCCAGAGAGGCAGGAAGATGATTTTCTATCTAGATAATAGGTATAAAGAGTTGTTAAAATACAGCTATAAAAAATTCTCAAACTGTTTTTGGGAGCTTAGTTTCTCACTTTTAGAAAAGAATGTAAAACTTATGAATGTATTTGAATGCTGCTGGGTACAACTGCCACTTTCGTTCTCAGATAAAGTGGAAATCAAGAGCTGAATTTATAGGCACTGAAAAATGTGCTGCGAAACCAGTAGGAGTTAGAGCCACAGCTAGATAATAAAAGACCTAGACAAACAGCAAAGAATTTGTTTAACCATTCATCATTTACTCTTAGACATCTGTAATAAATTAGTATTAGTACCAAATAACTAAATATAAAGTAAAAAACACTTACATTTTGGGTGAAAACAACTTCAAGGGTAAACACTGCCACAGCTTGGCTACAGATACACAAAAGTTGCTGTGTGTCCACTAAGGGTCATGTGGTTCCTATGAAATACCCTAAGGCCCCCAAGCTCCAGTCCATTTAGAAACTTAAAGCACTCTGCAGCCAAATACTGACTTTCTAAAATGTCACTGGGGAATCAGCTGCAGTAAGACAGTGAGCGCTTACATTATAATGATTGTTTCTGCATGACAGACTGGATTCATAGACTCATGACAGTAAAAACAAACAGTAATTCTACGTTAATACTGGACACCACTACTTACACTATGCACGCCCCAGGCACTGCTCTTATATACAATATTTCAAGTAAAAATAAAAAAGGCTGTAAGAACTCTCATGAATTCATAAAATACTTCCATACCCAAGCAGCACTACTGGTTGTCTGATGCAATTCTAAGAGAGATATCTCTAAAGCAATGAGCTATCTACTCATTTACTAAATCCACCCTTTAAAGAAACAAACAAGAGCCTTTTCATGGTAAAGCCAGACTTGCCCGAACTGTTTAAAATTCTCCATTTGCTTTCAACCCCTATCTTTCCATCAGTAGTTGCATAGTTACTAAGAAAAAGACTTCATCCGCCATTAGCACAGGTATAAGCACCGTCACAGCAGATGATGAATCAGAAAACATGTCTGAGAAACGTAATATAGAAGACTCCTTTTTGTCCACTGTCCATATAAAGAAGAAAATTTAGAGCCCTTTGGACCAACTGAATTGACTGAACACCTCCAAAACCATGGATTTTTATGATACTTTTTTTTTTTTTTTGCGGTACGCGGGCCTCTCACTGTTGTGGCCTCTCCCGTTGCGGAGCACAGGCTCCGGACGCGCAGGCTCGGCGGCCATGGCTCACGGGCCCAGCCGCTCCGCGGCACGTGGGATCTTTGCGGGCCGGGGCACGAACCTGTGTCCCCTGCATCGGCAGGCGGACTCTCAACCACTGCGCCACCAGGGAAGCCCTATGATACATGTTTGACGTAAGTAAAACCTCTTGGTAATTATTTTAAAAGAGAATGTTGCCATATATAGTAAACAAACCAAATTCACAAGAAGGCTTTAACATTGAAACTGAGTTTTTAAAGAAAGCAGCCACTGCGCCACCAGGGAAGCCCGGTGATTCTTTATTTTCCTCTTTCCTTCCACATTTGTTAATGGGAACCTACTACAAGGGAGAACTCTCTCTTCTCCTCTACTTGTTTATGTATTTATTAGACTGTTTGTATCCGTACAGACTCAGTGTGGTAGGCACACTACAGAACGACTTCCAATGAGTCACACTCTTCTGTAATCTCCACCTCTTCACTGAGGGCAGAACCTGTGACTTGGCTTCTAGCCAAAGAATATAACAAAAGCGATGGGCTATCATTCCTAAAATTATTTTATATGGCAAAGTTAAAGCGATTTTACAGATGTAATTAAAGTCCCTAACCGGTTGACTTTGAAAAAATCAAAAGGGAGATAGCCCTGTGTAGGCCTGATGTTAAAAGAGGACTTAGGGCTTCTCTGAGCTGAAGGAGGCTCCTGATGGCCTTGAAGACGTAAGCTTCTATGATGTGAACGGAGCCACATGGCAAGGACAGGCAGCCTCTGGAACCTGAGGGCCTCACTTCTACAACCACTGGAAATGAATTCTTCTAACAATCTGAATGAGATCGGAAGCAGACTATTCCCTAGTTGAGCCTCCAGACGAAAATGAGACCATCCAACACTGACTACAGCCTTGTGACCCTGAGAGGAGGACCCAGTGAGGCTGTGACTGGTCTCCTGGCTAGAGAAAATGTGAGATATTAAATGTGTGCTGTTTTAAGCTGCAAAATTTGTGATAATTCGTCATACAGAACAGAAAACTCACACACTTGTGGATTAAAATCCAAACTTGCCATTATTTTGTTGCTCAAATTGTTCCAAATTCTTATTTTATTTTTTTCAAATCCTTATTTTTGGAATCACAAGATTTTCCAGGCTCATCTCTTTTTATTGGAGGATGGTGTTCAGAGGCTAAGATCTGGGCATTGGGTCTGCGCGTTAGTCCCGGGGACTCATTGCTTCTAGGCCCTCTCAGTGAACAGAGGTAGGAAATATGTATGTACACTAATGCATACATATATACTCTGTATCTTAGTATTTATTTGTGTGTGCATGTAATCATGAGTTTATGCAAATACCGCTAACTCCAATCCAGAACTAGAGCGTACATTTTGCCCTTCTCCCTGTCCTTATTTATAAGTTCTTTCTCCAACATTAAGAAAAGCAGCTCTCATTATCTAAATCAATTTACATATTGTTCAACTCTGTTCTATACACATAGTAATTTCAGAATTACTAGACTATATCCTTATGAAAAACACTGAGTCATTTGTTAGGGCTTGTATTTCATTTTGAGTTCCCTTCGCATACTAATTGGTTTTAACTGTTTTCAAATTTAGGGGGTATGTGAAATATTTCTGTGGTTCTAAGAGTCAGAGCTACACAAAAACACATATGCCCAGGAGTCACTCCCTCCTCGTCCCTGCTACCTTCTTCCCATTTCTCCTTCCTATCCCTTTTCCCATCTGCCTTCTATAAATAACCAACCCCTTTAGTTTTTGATTTATCTTTATCTTTCACATTTTTTTTGCATAAATGAGCAGATAGCTGTATATTCCCTTATATTATCTTCTTCCTTATGTGAAAAGTTGCATATCCTAGGTTATCTTTCAAGCTTTGCTTTTTCACTTAACAGCATGTCCCGAGAGTACCTCCTATCAATTTATAGCATTTTCCTTATTTAAAAAATAGGTATATAGCTCTCCTTTTTGTGAGTGTTCCATAGTTTACTCAACCACTTTCCTCTGTATAGGCATTTAGGTTGTTTCTAATCTTTTGCATATGCATTTCTGTACTGTTGGAGGCCTATCTTTAGGGTAAATTCCTTGCAGAGGGATCGCTGGGTCAAGAGGTTATGTATTTTCAAATTTCCCTCCATAACGC